AACAGTTTTTTCTTAACTGATTAGTGGACGTTTTACTAACTTGAATAGAATTGAACATAATTTTATAAGGTTTTTATTGTTTTATTCCAAATATATGTTTCATTGATAGATTTCAGAAATAGCATATCACCTCAAATCAAAGAGTGCTTCATATATTCTGATATGAAGTTACTAACTACTTCTCGATAAATGTGTATTAAAGATTAGGATCAATTCATCATCATTATGATGTATAAGTAATCAATTATAAATGAGAAAACAATCAGTGGGCATAAAATTCGACAAATAGTTACAATTTGGATTCATGGAGATGTTGAATGATTTAATTATCATACGTTTAGTATCTGTAATCACGGAAGATAAATATTAACCTATCTACCATTGCATAATACAGTGGTTTACTAAGCAAAACTTTGAGTTCATTAGCTGACGTTAATTAATATACAATATATCATGATTTTCTATCCATACCACTTAATGAATCGTTGAAGTGAATGATCTCGATTAACCTTGAAATCATAAGCAATATTTTCCATCACTTTATTTGTCTAACTTATATACAAGAAGAGAAAGACTAATTTTAAGATAATAATAACTATCATGGAAATTCTGAGACGATAGATCTTTTACTTCTGACCTTTTGATTTATTGACATCAAATATTTTGTGTGTTTTTTTTGGTCCAGAATGTTCAAGACATATTCAGAAGCGTTGTTACTATATCTTCTTAAAACGAATCTATGTTTTAAGCAGTGTTCTACATCTACTGTAACAATAAATAAAGCAAGTGTATTTTATCGTTAAATAAGGTAATTTTAATAAACATAATTTATAAGGGAAATGAATTGTTAACTAATAATATGATTATAATTTTAATGAAATTTTGTTTGATATTAAAATAATAATAAGCTAAAACTCATTTTTCACTTACTTGACGTCCGAAATTTAGTCCCTTAACAACAAACTGATATATGTATCTATCATTCATTTAATATATCACGCTAACAATAATTACACCATATATATATAGTTGTATAGATACATACACAAATCAATCAATCAATCAATCTTATCATTCTGTATTATTTATTTAATATATTGAATATTGAAAATAAAACACGAACATGGATTATGGTATCTTTATTTTAATGCTTTTATTATAATAATAAAATCAAATGTTTATTTCACATTTTCACATTGTCCCATTATTATTTAATCATTAAAATGTTGTTCTTTTTGGATAATCCATTTGTCAATTTCAATTAAAATTATTACTCTGTATGATTTTATATAAACAATTTTTCACTTATACGAATATTCGTCAAGATTAGAACGAATAGTCTGACAGAAATTGAGCGCCAAGTATAGGAAAGTTATTATATGTGAAAATATTATATTTGAAATAATCTCACTTATTTAAATTTAAAATAATTCGAATGTTTCGTCCAACTAACTTGTTTGAACTTCTTCAGGGTAATAATCAAAATCAAAATCATCGAGGAAATATATAACTTTTTAAGAATCAAAAACATACTTACACACTCATACACTTACAATTTGTTTTCAGTTAATTATTTCCATGTCATTGAACTTTTCACATGATTCTCATTTAACTGTCTTATGTTATCCTATTTACTAAAAATCAATATCTAAATATGATTGGATTAACACAGTATAAAGTTGATCTGATTTGATTATTAAAACACTATATATTTCTTTAATGATTTTAATTTTGATTATTACCCTGAGGAAGTCCAGACAAGTTAGCTGGACGAAACGTCGGAATTATTTAAATTTCAATCGCTGAGATTATTTCAAATATAATTTTCATATATAATGAGTTTTTCACTTATTTAATATTAGGATTCTTTTTATTATTCATAATCCCTAGTTCCTCATGTAACATAGAAACCATTTATATAGAAAGAAACTATTCAAAATAACATTCATAAAATATAGTTTATAAGTATAGAGCATGTAAAGACGATAATTTATGGACGATCTTTGAGCAATGCTAAAATGACTTTAAAATATCCACATACTTACTAAGGTTAAATGAAGGTTATAAATTAGTGTGAGGAATAAGGATTAAGATTAACAACTTAACGATAGGTTAAGGAATTAGGAACTAACATCAGCTATACTATCAAAATGGTATGAGTGAATTTCACACCAGAATTTAAGACCTGTTATTTTAAATCTGATTGGTTCATTCATAAATTATATTCTTGCCTAGAGCATTTTCGACATTTCACAAGAAAACTTGTTCTTCTTCAGATCAAACTATTTTATTTCCATACTGAAGTTTTAAAATATTAGGCATAATACAAAATATCTCTTGATTATCTTGTAAAGAGAGGAATCATGACCTTTTATTGGTTTAACATACTATGGTGGTCAGTATTCAATATAGTCATTAGGCTTCGTATACACTTCGTCTTGAAAACCGTCCCTAGTTAACTCTCCCAACGTTATATTATTCAGAACGCGAATGCGAAGTGGTGATTACGTTTATTATGGGACCGCACACATATCCCAAATTACAGGTGGGTTATGCAAACATGAAAGAGTTGTGCTGAAAAGAAAGCAGGCAAGTGGGCGATCGAGTGAGTCAGCGAATATGAGTACGAGTCAGAGAGTGCAAATAAGCGAAAGCAATGAACATGAATAACGTGGAAATATATATACATAGTGACCAATAGTAAGGCTAGCAGAGTGAATATATGCGTAGGCAGTAAGCAATGCTCAAGCATACATGTTTATACATTCGCAACAATAATAAACATATTAAAAAGAAGAATATATTTGTAAAATCTCAGCGAGTGAATTTTAAGTAAATCCAACGTTTCGCCTGGCAATCTGGTCCAAGCTTTTTCAAGGAAAAAATATATAATATATATATAATAAACATAAAATGATATATAAATAGGCTGTTGTTGTACGGATGATTCAGCTCGTTAATAATCTGACAAAGTGACTTAATCGAATTAAATGTAAACAAACTCAATTGCACATGAGCTGCTATAATACCAATACTTATAGTCCATCATTTACATAATGGAATAATCTATTAGGCAAAGCGATTCTACATAATATAATACATGATTTGAAGATTTGAGGATTTTAAAACAAAAACATATTTGATTGTCGCTAATGGATATGTTGAATAAATTGTCAATTTAAAAGAAATTATATTTCCGTGTTCATTTTGTTTTAATGAAGTTTGTTACAGTGATTCTTAAGAAACGATCTACTTTTAAAATCCCACATTTTAGGAAATTAAACTTTGTTTCAACTGCCTTTATAATACGTGTAGTGAATCCGTAATCAAATTATGCTTCTAAATTTTTGGTGGAGTTTTGTTCTCTGAGTTGGATGGCTCGGTCGGGAAGCTTTCATCGTTCTTCTGAACGACATCATCAGCACAAAATTCAAATAGAAGTGAAGTGTTCGAATTTCTCCATATGCGTTTCACAGTTTGTTCTGTGCACCTCGATGTTTATTGGTTTTTATTGACCTTAAATTTGTCATTGTTTACTCCTTTGTTTTGGTTGTCTCCCATTGATTTGATTCTTATTCCTATATTTGTGCATGATTTTCCTGATTGGTTGATAAATTGAATTGATTTCAATATGCTTGTTAATTGCTGGTTGACCTGAGTGTCAGGCTTCTAGAAATTCTCTGGTGTTTTTGAAGTTTCCTCTGTCTAAGATTTCCACATTTTCCCGACCGAATGAGTGTCCGCAGTTGTCCACGTGTATTGATATAAGTGAGGAGATATCATGGCGTTTGACTACTAATTGATGTTCGTGTAGGCGAAGGTGAAGAGGGCGTCCGATTGTCCGATGTAGTGTTTTTCGCAGTTGGCACAATTTATTTTGTAGATGATGATGCTTCTAAAAATTTATTAAAATTCGTTAACATGACAATAGTAGTTGTACTTTAGTCAGTAATCAATATGATAGGTTTTGTTTTCATATAATCTTGTATTGGTAAATAATCAATTTACCTATGCCAGTTTAGTTATTCACATGGAGTTAAATAACATTGGCTTGGATACAACTATTATAAATTAACTAAAAGTCAAACATTTGGCTCGTATTTTACACATTAAACTTCAATTTTAACCTATACATTGAGTAACATAATGTTAAAAGGATGAAATATTTGACAGAATTATTCTGTGTATCTTTTCATTTTTCTGAAATGTACTAATCTATGATTTTTGAACGATATTCGATTATTAAAAGCACTAATAAATGAGATATCCTAGTTCTTAATTAGGAGATTAACAAATGTTTGAGACATTTGACATTATTCATGACTTATGTTTGGAGAGAGGCACATATTTATAGACTGAAGATAACACAACTTCCATCATTGTACTATAGATTCTGAATGCTACAGATTTAGAAGCTACTTGCATACAGATAATTATTATCAAAAGTTATACTTATGTAAAAGATAAACTTTCTAAAGTGGTTTCACTGAGGTAATAATTCAATTCGTAGTAAACAAAATGGATTTATTGTATTTTGTCTTTTAGATCATCACGCATGTAATTTTTAAATGGTTGTGGTTACAATGAATTACAACGAATCAAATTTAACTTGATCTACCTTTTAAGTTTGATGCTGGTAGATCGGATAAAATATTCATTTTTCCTGAAAAGGGAATGGTGATGTTGCTTGGGGTGAAAACTAAGCAAACCTGATTGAACCTCTAATGTCAGGGACATATCTTCCAGGAACTTTTCTAGGGTTGCTGCTACTCTCAAGTCTTGATACAGAAGAGGAATCAGGTGTGGGGTTAGCAACACACTTCATAAAAATACCTTAGTGCAAGGACACTAACCAGATAAATCGTTCGAACCATTTAAGTTTGAAAGAAAAACAGACCACAGTTTTCATTGACAGACTTTAAAATCTTTGACATTGAAAAATGTCTCACGATTTGATTTTCTTGCTATAAATGTTAAACTTTCTTATTTTTCAATTTTAGAAGTAGACATATTCCTAGGTCGTTTGAAAATGTTTAAATAGGATGCTTATCTGGAGACGTTTACTAATCATTCTGTTGAATCTAATCAACTCTTGGTTCATTGCTGCAACTGAAGAAAAGCCAGTTCAAAAAACAGAAAATCTAGCTATAGGTAAGTTTTTGTAAGAAAAACTTTTCCGGGATCAGCCAGTAAACTTATATATATATATATATATATATATATATATATATATATATATATATATATATATATATATATATATATATATATATCAGTCAGGATGATCAGTATCATACGTCGGAAGTTTGGCTCCACATTATTTGCAGAACTTTTAATCATCACAGTGACAATCTAATTAAAATATAATACTGTTCGTATAAGATTTTTGAAGATTGCACATTAGCAACATGGATTTACTTATTTCTGTTTTCATTCATGACGCCAAGTTTCTTTACTCGTATTACTGTCATAAATCATACGTTTTACACTTCTGCAAAAAGTATCTCTTTTAGTACTTGTGTAATAGTAAGGGAAAGAAGATCATCACATCTGAATTTTAGTAAAAGTGAAAATTCTGTTACTTAATGTAGGCTAAAAGCTGTTATCTCTCTTTTCAAAATAGAATTCTTAAAATGTAAGTGTGGTTCTTTCATGTGATTCTAAAGCCAGCTTTGTTTGTAGTGTGATTACTATGAACGGTTTCTGCTTTTTAGGTTCTTCAGTAAAATTGATATAAGTTTGAATATACTGGATGTTAGGAATATCATTCGTCATGAGCTTATTTATTTTAACACGCTTTCCGTCATGTGTTATCTCCGTATTTTACTCAACCTGTTATAACTTTTTAACTTTTTCATTTGTTTAAGTTCTCTAGCCATAGCTTCCTTGCGAAAGTCACTTGATGCTCTGACTGAGCTCTCTAAGGTCGATGAATATGTATGTGTAATCTTATATAAAGGTAGGAGCGAATATATCTGACTTGAATTCTATGGATTCTTATTATACAAGTTTATTCTACTTCAGAGATCTCCATTCAGGGTTCAAAAAGAACTTTTACGACAATTGTTTCTTATATTTGTATCACATTTTTATCTAGTCTAAAGTGAATTAGAATAATGTAGGCCTTACGCCTCTTGGTTCCTATTAGCCTTCAGTTATTCAGCTTGTTTTTCTGTTTCCAACCAACATTACATGTGTTGGATTTTCATGGATTATCTCAAACGAGCAACTCATCGTATGGCTTTCATTGCTGTTTACGGATTGAAGAGTACAAGTGTTCACCTTATGACATATATCATGAAATTTACTTCAAGTTATGGAAACTTTAAATATAGGAAATCTTGCAGGATTTCATAATGACTACTAGCATTCCTTTGAATAGACTGGAGATGGTGAAAAGTTAGTCGTATAAGAACATAAATTATTTTCGTTACGTAAGTTTCTTCAGTCCTATAAAACAGTTTTTCTTCAGATCACAGGGGTATCAAACCTTGGTAGACTACGGTACAGTCTTATTACCTAAATGACAGTCAATAACCATTTTCTTATTGAGCAAAATTGTTTAACTTATTCAATAATATGGCGAGCAGTTAAACACATTAGATTTGAAAGTACAAGGTTTGAAAAATTTTCAGATGTTGTGTTAAAATACTTTCAGTTGCATTAACAAAGGCACACACAAAATGTGGTCTCATCATAAATTCCTTTTAACCGTTATTTGACGTCCAAGAAACAGTTGGTAAATTTGGGTGGTATTGTTATACTACTGAATATACTTAAATAGTAATATGTATTTTGTAACAAATAAACACTGGCAATGATTAAATTTATTGGCTGAATTTAGCATATCTGATACCTGCCATTAAAAACAAGGGTAGTTGCATGTCAGTCCACAGATTTTGGTCCTAAAATATTCATCACTGAGGATTTTGTGGTCGATTGTATGAATCAATTAATAACATCACAAAATGCCTGTAGGACTTTATAAAAGTTTTAGTATTTTACATTATCAACCAACATATTACGGCACTTCTTGAACGAAATGCCAGCAATCTACTTTTTATTCCATCAGATATCTAAAGATAACACAACTTATGACATGAATGTAACATTCAACAATGGTTGGCCTTATATTTTTATGTAGCCAGTTATCTAAAAATGAAAACGATTTTTTACAGTTTAATTTAATAAGCCGGAAAACATGTTTCAGTTATTTGTTCATGTTCTTAATATACTTCCTTCTTGTTAAGAATTAAGTAATAATGGTTTTTCTAATTATCCGATTACTTAGGAACATGTTGAAACTTGGTTACAATGGGGAAGTAAACCAATATATCGTCAGACAAATAGATGAGTGAAATGAATTTGTCTATAAGAATATGATAAACTTACATAACATATTATAGAGCCATATTATTTGTGTTGTTTAAATGCATATATTTAAATACACTGATTAGCTGCCGCTCTATTTATTCATTTCCTTACAGTTAATAAGTACGTATAGATACGCATTCACCTAACCCCACAAAATTACATGAATTCATTTAAATTCACCTCTTAACGATCGACTACATCTTCGTTGCACACTGACAATTATTCTGGACTAAGTAAAGTAAAGAACTATAAAGCATAGTAATTAAACCATTTCATGTGACTGAAAAATATGTTTATTAACAGAGTCCGTTCGATACCGCTCACGATATCGTCTAGTAATTTTTTAAAAATCTTGGGCTGAACAGTCATGTCCTTCTAGAAACAACATGTTTTATTCTATATTAAATGAAAGTATTATCCTATTCTGAGTAACAAATCTATGTAATGGTCAAACTCTAATAAAAATAAGAATATCGAGTAAAAGAGACAATAGTCTACTTGACGTATATTATAAAGGTGCGAAAGAGATGCATGTTTGATAAAAAAACTAAGGGTGTACTGGAACCATAGTAAAATGAAAGGATCGGATATACTTCTTCTGGACGCAAAGACAAGGCTTGATTTGAGGAGCTATCAAATTCAACCAGCCACAACGTAGAACCAGGCACACATATGCATCGATCCAATTTGCCATACAGCGTTAGCACAATACGATGAACACCGAATTCATAGGAGTGGTTAGGTCAATGTGGTAATATACAAAAGAAAGATTGCATATAAGGATACAGTACAGGAAGAAAGACTTAATTAGTAGAAAGATATGAAGTGATTTTAATCCCTTAGTTTAAGAGGAAACAAAGAGTATATACATCTACGGCATTGTGATCGATTCTGAGCCACGTCACCCAGAGTCTCCAACCATTGGTTACGATAGTCACGTGGACCCCAACCGAGTAGTCTTCGTCTACCAACATGGCTCAGACTAGAAGTTAGTGACTTCAAGCACTGATGCCACGTTTCGGTTTGGCCGCCCCTAACTTTCTTCTTACCATCCCTAACACCAGTTAGCATTGCGAATCGTGGTAACCGGTGTTCAGGCATGTGCAACACGTGACCCAACTATCTCAGTCGATGAAGATTCACAACCTCATCAACTGATTTACCATCATTCCATAATACCCTGCGTTTAACCTTACTATGACTTACCCTGTGATCCCAGAAGATACGAGCGATATTTCTAAGGCATCTGTGATCGAATACTAGTGGCTTACGAATATGTTCTACTCTTAACGGCCACGGTTCGCAGCTGTAAATTAGAACAGAATGAACTGCTGCTCAGTATACTGGTCCCTTAATTGATAGACGGATATCTCACCTTCGCCAAAGGTGACGTAAGTTGGTGAAAGCCAAATGGGCTTTTTGAATCCGTGCCGAGATTTCGTCAGACATGAAACCATTATGGTTGATCAGACTTCCAAGATAAGTGAAGTTGACAACGCGTTCGACTACTTCACTCCCTATCCTTAGTTCAGGTGTTGACGCAGACCAGTCCTGAACCAACAACTTGCATTTAGAGGGAGAGAAGCGCATTCCAAACATTTTGGCATTGTTGCTCAGTGCTACCAAAAAACTCTGCATTTTATCAGCGTTCTCACCAAACAGGACTATGTCATTTGCGTATTCTAAGTCGATAAGAGGACCTCCTGGAAGGAGATCAATATCCGAGAATTCAGTAGACGAGAATGTTATTCCCATCAATAGGTCTATGATGAAGTTAAACAAAAATGGAGAAAGTGGACAACCTTGAAGGACACCACTTGAGGTTACAAAAGTAGATGACAGTTCGCCATAAGCTCTGACTCGACTGATAGTGTTCGAGTAAAAAGAGCCTTCACAAGTTTCTTGTACTTCTGAGGTACGCCTTTCAACGACAGACACTGCCACAAAATCTATAGTCTATAGTGCCAAAATGCTGCTATTATGTTAAGAAAAACTATCATTGTCGGGCGCCGATAAGCATGCCTATGTTCTGGAACCTGATGTATGATGAATACGTGGTTGATGCAGCCACGACCAGGTCTGAAGCCTGCCTGATATTCTCGTGTCCCCAGTTCACGAGTCTTTGTTAGACGCCCGATAATTATTGAGGCTATATTAGTCAAACTAATCCCTCTCTGATTATCACAGAATGATTTTGACCCTTTGTTATATATTGGGACAATCAGTTATTGAGAACAATCAGACGAGATCAAGTCCCACTACCAGATTTTAGCTAAAATATTAGTCAACCTAATTGCGAAAACTGGACCACCATCCTTAAAGACATCTGGAGCCAATCCATCTGGAACAACTGCTCTTCTGCGCTTCAGATTAGCTATGGCCTATTGAACATCAGCTAGCTATTTCACTGTTCCATTCACACTGTCTGGTAATGGTGGATAGTTATATAGTAGCTGAAAGCCAGCTAAACTGTTCTCTATCAAGGCATTTTCTATGAACAAGTTTCATGTCTAGCTTCCCTTTGAATCAGTTAGTCTGGATAATTTTGAATTAAAAATTCTGGTGGGAATAAATGACCAAATTTTACTACACTTTCAACAATTGAATTGCTGACTGGTTCATATTCACCTACAAGTAATCATAATGGGATGTGTTTCGACAGATGTTGGTAATATTACAGTACTTTGTCAAAAACTACTATCGATAATAATTAAACGACAAACTAGAGAAACCCATAAAATTCTAAAACTCGGATGGAGACCAAAAGACAGGAAAAA